TAGGGAAGGAGAGAGAGGGAGAGATGGAGAGAGGGGGGGGAGGGAAGGAGAGAGAGGGAGAGAGTGGGAGAGATAGGATAGGGAGGGAGCGAGAATTTCGTCTTCCATTATTAAAAGAACAACAAATATTATATCATATCATATTATATCACCTTCAGATTCTCATTTTGGACACTGTCCAGTTTGTCAGGGTTTCTGACCACCGCTGTCACGTGATGTCCAGCGCTGAGGGCCTGCTTGACCACTTCCTGTCCCGAGGGTCCTGTCGCTCCCAGAACTACCAGACGCTTCATCGTCAACGTTCTGACGGAATTGAGAACATGTTTTTTTCTTTTTCAGGTTATTTTTCAATATTTAGGGTATTTTCAACGTCCGTTCACTAACGCTTGCACACACACACACACACACACACACACACACACACACGCACACGCACGCACACACGGATGAAAGGAAAAGCGACATTACTGCATTTAGACGTGCTGCGGGGAGGAGGGGGTAGGTAGGTAGGTAATCCGAGGCAGATTGATCTAGTGAAGTATTCACTGCCTTCTCGGGCGTATATAGGACAAACAGGTGCTATATATTTGGACAGTGATCAATTGTCCCGTTCATTAAGCAGGTCAATTTTCATTAAACCTGACTAACCAGACCCATTACTTAGTATAAAGGTTGAATAGTTGAAAATCGTCTCAGAGCAGTGGTGTATAAAAGCTGGGGTAGCGTGTCTGTTAAATGTCACTTACCTTGTGGTCGGCTCGTGAAGGTTTAATCTAAATTAATAAGCTTGGTGAACTGAACAATGAATGTGCGTCAAGACGCTGTACGTGTATAAATAAGATAACGTTTTGGGTATCATACAAAATGATCTACTTGTGCACCTTGTTCTCTCTCTATGTCTCTTCCCAGTACCTCGTCACCCCGATGAGGTCAAGTCGTAGCATAGATAGCATTAAGCCGAGTGAATAGGCACGTGCTCCTTTACTTTGAAGACATTGAATATATCGCGTAAAGACCGCTGTTTAAAAAGCAGTTAGTTATTCCATTTTGTTGAAGACACATCGGAAGCAAATTTTAAGGGGTGAGTGAAGGCAGGGATTTTCTTAACCCCGTTCTTCGTTCGCTTAAGACTATCGTGGTTGAATAATTGCCGGTGTAACGTGACAGAGAGTACCCCTTAAAAGAGAGTTCGCTTCCCATTCATTTTTACAGGTAAACCTCGCCCTAGATTTTGACCCACTTAGGTCGGGCTAACCCTAACCACTATAACTATATGGAGGGAGGATTTTCTGTTTCACGGACCCTCGGTTTCGTTACCCCGGAAAATGTGGATTGGTTTACATACCGTCCAATTTTAACAGTCGTCATGAAAACAGTGCACATACTGAAAACCTGTGTATCCCCCCCCCTTTTTCGCCATTGCCCGTTAAATTTTCAAAACAATAGTTATATTGCTTAAAGGTACATACGAACCGAGCATCGGTGGAGAGTGGATTCCCAGTAACACATGTAAACCACTTCTACTAGATTCTTATATGACTTAAATAAATTCGATATGCCAAGGGATAAACTGAATAGATCACTCGATCAGCCATAAAAGACCTTTAGACTGCTCCTTTCTTTAAATTTTTGGTTGTAAATTTAACCTACTTTCGTGACCTACTTTCCTGCCCCATTGACATACAGCTTAGAATGCCAGCAGAAAAATCCGTTCAAACATCATTTTCGGGTAAAATTAAACAATGCCTTTTGGTAATTATCTTAGTTATACTACTTAAAACTATATGCTGGCATTTGGTTGGTTTTTGTGACAAAAAATTGACTTTGTATACATCTTTAAGTTACGAAGCGCCCTTATTTACGATGTACCAGAGGTATCAATTAAACATTTCTAAAGGCATCTATGGGTCACCGTATTATTTATATGGCTTGTGTAAGGAAAGGGGGGGGGGGCACAGACAACGTGCAGTTGATACCCATGCACGTGCATATCCAACATTTTGAATAAAAATGCCTAAACAAAGAGATAAATCTGGGCTTCAACAAAAGTTATTATTCAATTAATAGATCTTTATTGGATCTGGCAATTTTTTTACAAAGGCTTTACCTTTAAAATATAAATAAGATATTTTTAAATAAAGCACTGTGTACATTTATTATTGCATAATTGCTTAAAGCAATAATAACTCTTCCTTTGAGATTCAAAAATCCGCATGAAATACATTGTAAACAACGCATGGAAATATATTCTATTGTATTTCACCACTAAAACGGCCGTTATTGTAGGAAAACTAAAATCTGTGCTTGTCAATAGGGCTTTCGATCCCTTTTTTCCGGTCGACAAGTGCATTCGTTGCTAATGACGTAATGGTGTCACGCGGATTCTCGCGTTCATTCGAGACCAAAATAACATGGCGGGAAACCCTCAGACGTAAGTTGCGAGTTTTTGTACAATGCGTCGGATAACGAAAAGCCCAGAATGGCACACATTGTGGATATAAATGCATTTTAACAAAAAGACGAATATATCTCATGAATCTTATATAGTGTTGTTGTTGTCTGCTTTTCCCGCGGTTGTAAGTAGGTCACCAGTGACTTTGCAATGTCAGAGAGACCTCCGTCAGTTAATTAACAAAAAACCGTACGTTTAGGAAAAAACCCTGGATTAACTTCGAATGCAGGAATGGGGTCGTTGGCCATTGGTAAGTACGGGAAAATTGCCGTTTTTTCCAGGAAAATCCAATTTTTGGCCAAAACGAAGAGTTATTATGACTTTAATTACTGCCGTAAAGTGAGTAAAAATTACTTTTTAAGCGCACTACAGTACATCATGTTTTTATAAAATGGCAGTGTTTTGGATTTTTCCCCTTATTCATGAATCGTGACTAAACACGCTCAGCCAGCAAGTCTTTGGGTCCAAAACTCATAGGAAGTAGGGCGTCCACTCTAAGTTTCTTGACCGTCATGTCCGCTGACTTGACCAAGTATAGGTGCCAGTCTGCGCCAAACTGAAACAGTCAAAACTATCTGTGGAAATATATACTCAAGACTCAAGACAGGAAGGATAGGATGGTGTGGTACTCATCCGCAACTGATTAATGAATTTGACATTGAATCCAGGCGTATAGTCGGGATGCGGGTGGGGGAGGTGGATATGGAGGACCCCCCTTATTTGCCAGGAAAAGTTCCGCTGTGGGTAAAATTTGATCTAGATATACGAAGCTTTCATGGTAATAAATAAATATATAAATAAATAAAAACTTTTTATAGAAAAAGAGCCCCCATTTTAAAAATTACTGGCAATGGACCTTGAATGGTAAAACTGTGATAAATGCTACTTGCTGGTATAAGAAACGCCTCACCTCTTCATAAACTTGTCTGCAAGCTCCACATGGCCCTTTAAAAGTATCCTTTATGTCACTAAAAGAGAAAAAATTGAGTTTCAGAGGCTTGCTTCTGCATTTTATAATATCTGTGCCTGCGCCATCTGAACCTCGGTGCGCAGCGTGTACTTAAAGATTACCGCGCCAATCACAACTGTCAGACGTGTCTTTTAACTACGCCACATGTCCTTTTATGGAACCGCGAAATCCGGATGCGGCAAACTTCAACCAAAATTTTCGTTCAAGTGTCATAAATGTTTGCTTACTCTGTCGACACCTCATTCGTGAACATATAATTTCAACTCACCATATAACTGCCATTGCTTTAAATTTTCTCTTTCCTGCTGTGACGGCATTCCAAATGGCGACTCTTTCCGCACACACCGTCAGCCCATACGAGGCGTTTTCAACGTTGCACCCTTGTTAACAAATAACACACAAATTCTGTGGAAAAGCGGAATGGATGCAGGTAATCTATGCTAGCTTGTAGGTACAAATTGCATTAAAAAAAAGGACTGTCTTAACGTCCATTTGTTGTCAAAGACAAGTATTTCTGTCTTAATATTCGTCATTATAAGCACAGTGCAAAGGTGAATGCCCAAGATATACTTCGTTGCCACGGGCGACTCTCCTTCTTACTTACTTCCTTGCGCTCAGTCTCAACAATCCCGACACGTTCTCCATAAATTCCTTTAATTCCCTCTCCTTTCCCCTTCCCTCCCCCACTCCTCCACCCCGCTTTCAATTTCGTACCTCTCTCTCTCTCTCTCCTCTCTCACTTTTTCCTCGCTCTTAGATCCCATTCCCGCCATGTAGGGAACAGTTTTTCTCTCCCCCCACACATTACCTGCAACCAAGCTCCCGTCGTCGCATAAGATGGCGGCACCAACATGGAAACCACTGTACGGACAGTGAGCACGAGTCCTCGCCTCCATGGCCGCCGTCACCATCCCCTGCAAATCTGCTGAAAGCGACGTTACTTTACAGACATCTTTTTCCTGGTCCCTTTCCATGTTTCAATTTCAAAACTTAAGTTTGGTGGGTTTCGTTAGTTAATTGGTTATGAGGAACTCGTTCTTGGTGCTAGGTAAATATGGCGCATCTACTGGTACAGTGAATTGCAGAACGAACAGTGACCCTATCACCAGGGTATGACTTGGATCGATGGCCTATCACTGATGACCTCTTCCAAGTACAACCAAGAGTAGTTTTATCATTAGAAGCACACTATGAGTGTTCACTCTTTAAACAAATGATCAGTTATGGACCCTACCGAGACAAATTGTCGAAGGGGCTGAGGACATTTGACAGGAATATCGAAAGACTGTAAAGTAATTCTAAAAACTTTTTAAATCTTGTTTGTTTATTATTGTTTTGCCCTTCTACAAGTGTACCTGGCGGGGAATGACCTCATTACTCGGGGTATTTATGTATTCTGCATTGTGTCAATCGCACTGGGTAACTAATATCTCGGTTGCTGTTGAGCGCGAATCTTTGGCAAATGTTATTGCGCGCACAGTACTGCCCAAGCCGGTCGCACAGGACTGCCCAGGCCAGTCGCACAGGACAGCCCAAGCCAGTCGCACAGGACAGCCCAAGCCAGTCGCACAGGACAGCCCAAGCCAGCCGCGCAGCACTTGATTGGTCAACAGAGTCTGGAGTAGGCATTTCAAGTCGCCATTGGGAGCATTCACATCGACAAGAGCCGAGGTCTTGTAAGGCTGCGACCTAAATATGGCAGACATACATGTAAGGAAGATCGCTTAATCCATTAACGGTCCCCCGCCTCTTTCACACCTTTCCACGCGTCGTCCCTGCGGGGGCACACTAATTAAATCTCGGCTCAATTCAATCGGTCGAGGGACGACGCTTGGGGAGCCGTGTGAAAGCGGAGAGACTATTACAGGATTGAGCGGTGTCCCTTTCATGAAGGTCCCGCCATATTTAGGTTGCGGCCTTATTAGATCTCGGCTCTTCTCGATGTGAATGCTCCCATTGTCTTCATTCGAACCTGGCTTCGCTTGCTTCACATGCTTCAGGGTAGACGAGTTTGTGAAAGAAACTCTTTCCTCATTCATTTTGAAGATGTGATCATCATCATTCACCTGTATAGGATGGCCTAGTGGTTAGAATGACTATCCAGTAACCCGTTTTGGAGTTTTGGAAGACCCCCCCCCCCCTTTAAACCTTAGGCCTACCCTACGTACATGTAGCAAATGGTATGATGAATACGTATGCCAGTGGCAAATTCTGTGTAAATACCGCCCCCCCTTGGGTTTTCGCACTTCCAAACACGGGCAATTCATAACAAACAAAACGAGCCAGAATGCCAACACTCTACAAACCGCAGGAATTTTTTTTCTGTATTCTGTGGTGGATTTACCTCGCTTCGCTGGCTGAAAGGAACCTTGTAGTCCCCCGTCCTTCCCCTTTGCAAACACTTGGATCTTGGATGTCTTTTAAAAGTAGAAAGTACTTAAACTTAAAAGTAAAATCAAACAAATCATTGCATCTGTGCTCATTTATTTTCCAGTAAAATCATTTGTTTGTTATAAACATTTCAAGTTGTGCGGGCAACAATCAAATTTCAAAAAAGTCAGCACCAGATAGACCCGTTCAAGTAATTCTTTGGTAGCATGAATGGAAAGGTATTCCACGGTCTGCTTACTTTGAATCAAACAAATTGCAACACCGAGTTCATGTATTTGCCAGGATATGGGCGTATTTCATCATGTCGGCCAATATGGCCTTATTCGGGAAAGGCTCGGGCGGTGACGTCACGGTGTGCGTCATTCCTTCCCGCCACACTGCAACAGGCTGGAGAAGCTTTTTCACCTCACGGACCTCCCCGATGGTGTCCTCTAACTCTAAATCAACCCCTTTCTCCCGGAGGACGGTGATGTCCGCACAGGACCCGACGGAAAGAGAGCCGATTTGGTCACTGGCACCAACGGCTGCAGCAGGAGTTGCCGTCACGGCTTTGACCACTTCCAATATCGGCATCCCGATATGATAGAACTTACTCATCACAATAGGCAGGTCGTACGCTGGCCCCATGGTGTTCCCAGAATGCAAATCGGTACTGATCACATCCGGCCAAAAGTTTTGCTCAGCGCAACTTTCAGCGACCCACCATGCAAATGACCCCTGCCCGTGACCTACGTCAAAAATGACACCCCGTTTCTTGGCCAGCCACACCCCAGGGTCGATTTTCTTCGTAGCTTGGTCAACAATTGAGCTTGAAAAGCTGTGGAAAGAGTGCGTATAGATGTCACCCTTTTTCAGACTTCCTGGACAAGAAAGTTCTTTGGCATCTAGAATGGAAATTTAGTTCTATTCACATGATCGATGGTGTAAATTGTTAAAAAACAACAACTTCTTAAGCAGGATTTGCATTAAAACACACACACACACACACACACACACACACACACACACAAACAAAAAGCAAAAAAAAAAAAAAANCTGTACGGACAGTGAGCACGAGTCCTCGCCTCCATGGCCGCCGTCACCATCCCCTGCAAATCTGCTGAAAGCGACGTTACTTTACAGACATCTAATTCCTGGTCACTTTCCATATTTCAATTTCAAAATTTAAGTTTGGTTGGCTTCGTTAGTTAATTGGAACTCGTTCTTGGTGCTAGGTAAATATGGCGCATCTGCTGATACAGTGAACTGCAGAACGAACAGTGACCCTAACACCAGGTTATGACTTGGATCGATGGCCTATCACTGATGACCTCTTCCAAGTACAACCAAGAGCAGTTTTATCATTAGAAGCACACAATGAGTGTTCACTCTTTAAACAAATCGGTTATGGACCCTACCAAGACAAATTGTCGAGGCTGAGGACATTTGACAGAAATATAGAAAGACTGTAAAGTAATTCTACAAACTTTTTGAATCCTGTTTATTTATAATTGTTTTGCCCTCCTACAAGTGTACTTGGCGGGGAATGACCTCATTACTCGGGGTATTTAAGTATTCTGCATCGTGCCAATCGCACTGGGTAACTAATATCTCGGTTGTTGTTGAGCGCGAATCTTAATTAGGCAAATGTTATTGCGCGCACAGGACAGCCCAAGCCAGTCGCACAGCACGTGATTGGTCAACAGAGTTTGGAGTGGACATTTCAAGTCGCCATTGGGAGCATTCACATCGAGAAGAGCCGAGGTCTTGTAAGGCTGCGACCTAAATATGGCAGACATACATGAAAGGAAGATCGCTTAATCCATTAACGGTCCCCCTCCTCTTTCACACCTCCCCACGCGTCGTCCCTGCGGGGGCACACTAATTAAATCTCGGCTCAATTCAATCGGTCGAGGGACGACGCTTGGGGAGCCGTGTGAGAAGCGGAGCGACTATTACAGGATTGAGCGGTTTCCATTTCATGTTGGTCCCGCCATATTTAGGTTGCGGCCTTATTAGATCTCGGCTCTTCTCGATGTGAATGCTCCCATTGTCTTCATTCGAACCTGGCTTCGCTTGCTTCACATGCTTCAGGGTAGACGAGTTTGTGAAAGAAACTCTTTCCTCATTCATTTTGAAGATGTGATCATCATCATTCACCTGTATAGGATGGCCTTGTGGTTAGAATGACTATCCAGTAACCTGTTTTGGAGTTTTGGAAGACCCCCCTTTAAACCCTACCCTACGTAGGCCCCTACATGTAGCAAATGGTATGATGAATATGTATGCCAGTGGCAATTCTGTGTAAATACCCCCCCCTTGGGTTTTCGCACTTCCAAACACGGGCACTTCATAACAAACAAAACGAGCCAGAATCCCAACACCCTACAAACCGCAGGAATTATTTTCTGTATTCTGTGGTGGATTTACCTCGCTTCGCTGGCTGAAAGGAACCTTGTACTCCCCCCTCCCTCCCCTTTGCAAACACTTGGATCTTGGATGTCTTTTAAAAGTAAAAAGTACTTTTATTTAAAAGTAAAATCAAACAAATCATTGCATTTGTGCTCATCTATTTTCCAGTAAAATCAGTTGTTTGTTATAAACATTTCAAGTTGTGCGGTCAACAATCAAATTTCAAAAAAGTCAGCACCAGATAGACCCGTTCCAGTAATTCTTTGGTAGCATGAATGGAAAGGTGTCCCACGGTCTGCTTACTTTGAATCAAACAAATTGCGACACCGACATCACATATTCGCCAGGATATGGGCGGATTTCATCATGTCGGCCAATATGGCCTTATTCGGGAAAGGCTCGGGCGGTGACGTCACGGCGTGCGTCATTCCTTCCCGCCACACCGCAACAGGCTGGAGAAGCTTTTTCACCTCACGGACCTCCCCGATGGTGTCCTCTAACTCTAAATCAACCACTTTCTCCCGGAGGACGGTGATGTCCGCACAGGACCCGACGGAAAGAGAGCCGATCTGGTCACTGGCACCAACGGCTGCAGCAGGAGTTGCCGTCACGGCTTTGACCACTTCCAATATCGGCATCCCGATGTGATAGAACTTACTCATCACAATAGGCAGGTCGTACGCTGGCCCCATGGTGTTCCCAGAATGCAAATCGGTACTGATTACATCCGGCCAAAAGTTTTGCTCAGCGCAACTTTCAGCGACCCACCACGCAAATGACCCCTGCCCGTGACCTACGTCAAAAATGACACCCCTTTTCTTGGCCAGCCACACCCCAGGGTCGATTTTCTTCGTAGCTTGGTCAACAATTGAGCTTGAAAAGCTGTGGAAAGAGTGCGTATAGATGTCACCCTTTTTCAGACTTCCTGGACAAGAAAGTTCTTTGGCATCTAGAATGGAAATTTAGTCCTATTCACATGATGGTGTAAATTGTTAAAAAACAACAACTTCTTAAGCAGGATTTGCATTAAAAAAAAAAACAGTTCACAGAATTTTGCTAAAACGGGAGGGTGGGGGTGGGGGGGCGATAGGATTTAAAAGCCGGTTAGCTGCGCCCCTTTCCTTCCCACAGTGCACCATAACTGTTATTTGCAGCTCGTTCTAAGAACTAGGAATAATTATATAATCTACTGTCGCACACATACCCTCCGAGTGCAGTGGTACCGTAGATATAGTGTGGTGGGTCATCAGCGGTAGTCCTGTCTTCTCTGATACCTCCAAAGCTCTTCTGGAGTGTAAACAAAAATATGAACATGGAACTGATAAATAATTAATACAATGAATAACTGAATGCGTTTTTTTTTCTGCAAAAGTTCATAAAAATAATACAAAGCTCTTCTGTAATGTAATGTAAAATAAAAAATAAAAATAAGATAAAAATAAAATTCAAAATAAAAAAAAACAAATATAAATATGAATACTGTCAACAAGTATGCAACAGTAGCTTCTGTTTTGCGTAATTTTCTACATAAGCTCACCGACAAACAGTCCAAGTAAACATATATATGAGAGAACAGTTTCATTAGCTCTGTATGTATAAATTCAAATTACTGTTTTTCTTTTTATCAAGAGCTTGTAAAATATGTGGGTATTACCTCCAATATTTCTGTGACTGTCAGTCACCATCATCAGGGAGTAAATGACTATGNCCTGCAAGAGTTCATAAAAATAATACAAAACTCTTCTGTAATGTAATGTAAAATAAAAAATAAAAATAAGATAAAAATAAAATTCAAAATAAAAAACGAATATAAATATAAATATGAATACTGTCAACAAGTATGCAACTGTAGCTTCTGCTTTGCGTAAGTTTCTACATAAGCTCACCGACAAACAGTCCAAGTAAACATATATAATTTTTATTTTAATATTTTTGCCAGCGTGAGCCATATATTTTACCCCACCTGTACGCTTCGTGCTCATTTCTGCCCTGGTCCGCCACATTGGCTGTCAGCCTAATCTTTATCCCCACAATCAGGTCTCTGTTTTGTTCCACGGTGTCTAGACATCCCTGGACGTCCAGGTGTTGAATGGCGTCACACTCACCTCCAGTGCCTGGAATACAAGGATTGTGTTTGGTGAGATTGACAACACATTCCCTCAAATTACTTCAATTGTGTTTGTTGAGACTGTCACAATCACGGAATGAGCTGAAGTGAGTGCACGTGTGTGTGTGTGTGTGTGTGTGTGTGTGTGTGTGAGAGAGAGAGAGAGAGAGAGAGAGAGAGAGAGAGAGAGAGAGAGAGAGAGAGAGAGAACATGGACGGGAGGAAGGGAGGATCTACTTTTTCCTGCAGCACAGCCAAATGCAGCCAGACCATGGGCACTTATATGAAGAAAGGCTAGGACTCTCGTCTTGGACTTCTCTGCTATATACTTCCTCAACCCGGGAAATGTTCCACATCCTTAGTTGAAAAAAGAGAAACGGAAGAGCTATATAGACCACATATCCTTAGTAAGAAAACATCAAGCTGAAATTACATATAAATCAAATTAAAGAGCATGACATTGATTTTCATATCACGTGAGGATTTGAAATTTTACTTCCTACACATATGCCAATGCAGTAATTATAATATTGAATTTAATTTACTTGACCTTACTATACAGTTTTGTAAAAGACCTGACTAAATGACACAATTTAGAATATCTTTAATTTGAAATTTTATTAAGGAGGAAATTAAATAAAAATCAACGAATACTTTGAATGAAATTATTTAGCAGCACTTTAATAAAAATCAAGGAATGACTGCGATCACTGATGACTACAACTAAAGAAATTATTTCACAAGTGTCTTTATTAAGCTGACAATTAAGTATTAATCAACAGATATCATATTTAAATTATCTCATAATTCCCGTAATTTATACAATAGACAATTACGTAATAATCAACGAAATTTTACATTTTCCCAGAGACTACGTTAATTTCTACCCGCGCTTCCTGCGTCCACGACTGTAGTAACCCCCCTAGCGAGACAGGAGGTGTCAGGATTCACTCCAAGAGGGGTGGAGTATTCATAAACATGCACGTGCAAATCAATTAGGCCAGGAGTCACGAGAAGACCGGAGGCGTCATACTCCGAGGTTGTAGATTCCACCTGAAGATTGGCCCCAAGTGCAGCTATTTTCCCGTCTTTAACAGCGACGTCTAAAATGTCATCGATGTTATTTGCGGGGTCTATAACCCTCCCGCCTCGAATGATCAAATCCACCTCCATTAAATTACGTGCAATCGTCTTGTTAATTAAATATGTATCTTATTATTGCGTAAGCTGTATTATATTACGCCCCTTTCTCTGCACTCAAAAAGTAGGTCAGGCACCTGTATGCGTAGTGACCTTTTAAATTGGTTCATATTGCGCAGGTGACGTCATCAAATAGCTCAAGCGAAAGTAGGCCATCGTAACAGCCGAGAGATTTTAACGCAAGAAAAATGACTTGAAAAGTCACTGATATGTGGATTTTAAGCGATCCACCAACATGGTGCGAGAGACAAGATACCTCTGGATTGGAAATTTACCAGAGAAAGCAAGCGAGGAGCGTATAACTGAACATTTTAAACGGTAGGTTTTTGGAGCATTACGAAATGTGCACAGGCTCACTTCGTGCAAACGTACGGCGGCCATTATTAGCCAAACAAGAAGCGGAGCGGGTCATATTTGACCCTCGTGGATTATTGCACGATCCCAGGTTCTTTAACGATCAGAAACGGAGTTGTTTTACCCACTGAGATCTATCTAACGCCCGGTGGAAATCTACACACATATTTAAAGGTGTATACATTCCCATGGATGTATTAATTTTAGTAACGCGGTTTGAGAGAGCAACATGAGATTGATTTTTTCATTCTCGCTCTCCGTATAGCTTTTCGTCCAGCCAGGACCGCCAGCAGATGCTTGAAAACGATCGCTGATGTATGAATTCAGCGGCATTGATCTGCCATCAGTTATGCATTTTGGATGAGTAATTATATGTTTGAATAGGCGTTTGCGAACGACGTTTTATATGAGCTCGTTTTAAACCTTGCGGATGACGGGGAAATCGGACGGTTTTCCCTCCCATTTTGAACAACACTGAAACTTCATACAACATGAATATAGTATTCTTCGACGGTTTTTGTCTCTGTATACGGATTGAATTGTCCCATATGTTTGATGTAGCTACTTCCTAGTTAACTTAAGTTAATGACGCACTAAGGCCATATAACAAAATAATTAAATGCAAAATTAATCGATTTTAAACAGACTTGACGTATGAAGGGGGTGGGAGCGTTGATGGACATTATGCAAAAGATAAGGTTTAGAATATGTTTTAATTTAAACAAGTCCAAAGGGGATGTGTCTTTGGAGTTATCAGCTATAAAATGCAAATGTGATCAGATTTATCCAAGTCATTACGGTGAGGGGAGTGAGAAATTTGAATTTGAGAATGAGTCTGTGTCTAAGTTATAAAAAGGAGAATATGAAGTAAGGTTGGCATAGCCATTACATGGCAGACACATAAATACACCTGTATAAAACCGATGGCTCTTTACTTTAACTCCTGCACAATCCTTGACACCAAACTTTTTGGCAAGGAGCCCAAAACCAAAGTTTATTAAATGTCAGGATGCAAAAATCTTCCGCAGGTGTAACAATATGTCTGAAATGTTTCAGCTGCTCAGTTATTCTCAGTTATAACATGAGAAAATTCGGGTCAAAAATGTTGAAGAAATTGAACACGGAAACAAGACTTGGCTTTAAATTTTTGGTAATAACAAACTGTAACATATGGGATGTTATTGTATGTATGCTAACCATTTATCTGGCTTTCCTGGCACCATATACTCAAATCAGAATGAAAGTCAACTGTTTTAACAATAGTAATATATACCACAATACTTGGAATTCTAAAAGAAGTTCAATTTATGTCAGAAGCATGTCTCACTGCAGAGGAATTTGATCACAATATTCCAATATTCCAAGGTTTTAATGTTTAAAAACATTTCAGGTTGAATACCAGCATCATATTAATTCTTAATGCCAACTTAACATTGCTCTGCAAGTTAAATAATTTAAAAGATGTTTGGAGGGAACGAATGCTCCTGTTTGCCTTATAAAGAACTAGTCAAATAGAAACAGAACAAATCTTTGGCTAGTTAGCCTCCAAAACCAGCATAAAGTCACTAGATCCTTATACGGGTCTTTGACTAGCTCTGCAGTCTGTCACTAATTTGTCCTCCTGCCATAGAGTTTTAAATTCTGTGTTCTAAATATATCCACATTTGATGAGGTAGCATTTGTAAGCCAAAACTGTAAACAAAGCAGGAATACAATCATTTTAATCGTCTGTCCAAGCGAGGGGAAATTCAATGTGTTTGCCAAATATGGCAGGAGAACGAGTTTCTTTGTGCCCAGAATGTACTGCACCTTTGCTTTGTGTTCATGTCTTGACCTCAGGCAGACTAGCTCATAATTATCCACAGTACTGGGCACTCACACTCATATTAAATGTAACTTAAAGCAGTATGCTTAAAGGGATTTTTTGTAGGATTTTTCAAACACAAATCACATTTTTGTTCGTTAAACAAAGTGAAACTTTTGATACTATTATCATACTTAATATCTGAATTTAGATTTATTAGCTTGATTTTGATACTCTGAGGCCTTAGCATTTGATGGCTGCTAATTTTCTGAACTAATCTTATTTTTCACTTATTGTTTCAGTTTACAACAGAAATCCTGTTAAACTGGAAATGTGGTACACACACACACACACACACACACACACACACACACAGATGGAGAAATGATATGTCTGTTGTGGAGAAGGCAATATTATCCTATTGGTCATCCATGGCCAGGGCATTCATATTGAGCAATGAAAACTGGTTATATAGCAAGTGGTTAACTTCAGGGGTCATTTATAAAGGTGATGAAAGGCTTGTGCCACTGGTGCTGGGTAATGGTTACAATACCCCGCTGTGTGTGTCTGATATTGGAGTGAAAAGGTGACATGATGGTCGTGGAAATAGAGAGATTACACTTTACAGCACTGTGAATTGTTAGGGTTCTGTGTTGGTTTGGTCATTTCACATGTATGATCTTGATGTGGTTTTACCAAATGGTGGTCATTATGGAGAATGTAAAATATATTTCTTTTATTGTAACATACACACACAGAGAAAAAGAGAGAGATGACATAATCATATTTTTTATGTCGGTCATTTGATAAAAGAATTGAAATTATTCCCATTTGCAACCTCTTTTCTTCTCACCTCTTTCAAAAGAGAACATGTGAAAAAATGAAGTTAAAGAAACAATTTTAAAAGCCACCCCAGGAATAACAAAAGCCCTAAACATACTTCCTGGCCGGGCCTGGCTTGTGGGAGAGTTATTATTTCAACCACAAGCTCTGTTCTTTGTCCCTCTAGATGCTAGCAGATCAGCCTTTTCAGGTGTACTGTGACTGCCACCATCACTGGAGCAGTAGGGGTATTCAATATTGTGTATGGCTATTTGAACAGGGCCATATTTATACAAGTCCCAAGACTTTGTTCAGATGGAAGTGTATGGGAACGGTTTAACAACCAGTAGTTTGATTTCACTGTGCTGTTTAAAGAGGTCTCTCGCTGGAACTTGGAAGGGATGGAAAGAATTTGGGATGAAGATTTTGTGTCCATATTTTTAAGTTGATGATGCATCTGACAGAGGTTAAAAACTGGTTAAGACATGGTCTCGATATGTCCTTCTCAAAAAAAAAAGAGAAAAGAGAGACTGTACAGGGGACAGTGACATATTAAGCTGTGTTCTGTTGGTGACCTTTTAGAATATCACTTGTGTCAGTTAAATGTTGACTGTCATTTTATTTAAATGTCACAAAACACACAGCTGTTTTACTTTGAACTTCACCAGAACATCCTGCACTCAGGATCTGAGAGTCACTTTGAATTTAAACGTGACATTAGTAATTTACATTCAAAAGAAGTGATGGTGATTGNAAAAAAAAAAAAAAAAAAAAAAAGAGAAGAGAGAGACTGTACAGGGGACAGTGACATATTAAGCTGTGTTCTGTTGGAGACCTTTTAGAATATCACTTGTGTCAGTTAAATGTTGACTGTCATTTTATTTAAATGTCACAAAACACACAGCTGTTTTACTTTGAACTTCACCAGAACATCCTGCACTCAGGATCTGAGAGTCACTTTGAATTCAAACGTGACATTAGTAATTTACATTCAAAAGAAGTGATGGTGATTGATGGAAATGCTTTGTCAAATTATATTAGAAAATCATCATGAGAATTTGATATTTTGCTGTTTGGGTGAATCCAGATTGGTGAAAAGAGTGAAAAACCATTTTGTCAATGGCAAGATTTATAGAAAACATGTTTTGATTGAAATCTGCATACAAGTATACATTTTTAGCTGTAGATATCTTGAAATCCATAAATTTTTGTTTCATGATGGGAAGGTTTTAAATCTCTGTCTGCAAAAATGTAACCAAAAAAGATAATATTGGCCTGTCATTGCTTGTTTTGAAAGAGAAAGAGGAAAAAGAAAATGATAATATAACTCTGTCTTTTTCTGCCTGAGGTTGGTTTTGATTGCTAAAAGTAGGATAACGGATGCTGATTTATTCTCTATTTTTATTATTTCCACATTATGTAAACCACAGGTTTGGCTGAAGGAAGTCGTCCACAATATATAAAACCTGGCCAGCTATCCATAGATCAGAAAGAGATAAACGGGGAAACCGCAAGCTCCAGGACCCATCCTTTAGTTTGCTCTTAGCATACATATTAACATAATCATATATAGAACACGTGAATCAGTGAACCAGACATACAGCTTTAATGTGTAGTGCAGAGTTATTGTATAAAAGATGTGGTAGCAGTAACACTTATCATTTTAGTCGAATGCTAAAACAGACAGTATTTGGTTGAACCAAAAAAGGTTGATTTGACTTGTTTTAGTCAAATTTAAACTATTTGGAGAAAAAAGTGACAAAGAAGTAGTGATTTGGCTAATGAAAAAAATGCTATCCCAAAAAATAACAGATTATTTTGGCACTGCTGCCATTAACATTGACTGCAACCAATTATTGACTAGATGCATAAATAATTTATATTTGCCAAGTTTGGCTTATAGAGGTAGTTACAAATTGGTTCTGAAGGAATGAATAGGGTTGTATACTGGCAGGTGAAGATGTGTGCCAGATGAAACCAGCTCCAGAGTAGAAACGTATACAAATGCTGACTCTGCACTGCATCTCTTGTATAAACTGTTGACAGACTTCACCCAGAACCTTTAAAGATGTTGGAAGGACTGAATTGAAATTAAGTAAATGTTGTTTGGTAAACAAGTCTGCTGAAAAAGAAAAAAAAAGAAGGAAAAAACAACCTATTCCCCTATTTATGGTTTATGAGAACTTCAGGAGTGTCCAAAAACCCAACCATGTCAATTTAAGATTCTAAAATACCAACAGGGGCTCATGATAAACAGACTGTGAAAAATCCCCAAATGGGCCCGTGTTGTTTGCCATTTGGGTCAGTGTAGGCTGAATAACGATGAGTCATCCCCTTCTGATATGCCACGTAGCTCACCCAGATAATAACATTGATAGCGCCACATGAAACTTGGCTCTCTGCCAGCAGATTTTGCTGCACTAGATATTTTGCGGCTGCAGTGCTGCATTCGTGCCCTCGCACGATAAATGTCATCAATGAAGGTTATACGGCCACGTGTATTTGGCTGATCTGGGGATCCCGGTTGCATGTGAACTGTTGCCAAGGCCTGAAGTTAATATGTTGGATGGGATGAAAATGAAAAACATGGCTTTCCTTTTATAGATTTTGTGGAGTTTATATCCAATTTTGTGTTTGGCTTTTGTTTTTGATTAGATAATGAAAGAAATAAAAAATCTATGAGTAATTTGGATATCGTGCTTGCTCACTTGCCCTCTCCCTCTCTCCCTCTCTCTCTCTCTCTCTCTCTCTCTCTCTCTCTGTATGCGAGTAAATGTAATGTACGTGTGGAGACAGAGAGATATACAGACACACACATACAGAGAGAGAGAGAGAGAGAGAGTGCATACAGAGAGAGAGAGAAGGAAGGAGAGAGGGGAGGTGTGCCAATAAGGACACTGTACATGGCACCAAGTGGCAAATTCCTATCTCCTGATCTGAGACAAGGCTACCATTGAATTAATTATTCATTATCTCCAGCTATGTCTGTAAATCATCCACTTTTGCTATGATGAAGTTAGTGATAAGAATAGCACTCTAGGGAGGGAGGGAGAGAGGGGGGGTTGACTGAACTATGGTGGTTATAGTGTAAAGCTGCCTTTATATGCCAGGAGATAAACGGGGGGGGGGGGGGGGGGGATTTAGTGGTGGGATGCAGGGGTGGTCTTCCCTGGAGAAGGTGAGAAGAATAGCACTGATTTTAAATATTACATTTTAAGACGTTAAACCTGGGCTGACATTACCAGAGTATTCCATCAGCGTTGCTATATTTCGACATCTCTAGGGAGGCCCTGTGTGATAAACACATCCATCTTCTTCTGACATATTTATACACTTAATGCACCTATTGGCATTTTGCCAGAGAGTTTTCTCTGTCAGGAACCAAGCATCGGTTTCAACCGGTAGCCGTTCTGAATTGTATAATCAGGAGAGAGCGTTTTCATCAATAAAAATTGCTTTTTGCATAAAAATTGCTTTTTGCAAGTAGTCTACTGCAGATTTTGAAAAAACGAGAAGTGCCTGATGCTTGATGTTGAATAGAAGGAAAAAAATCTTAGCTTTCAGATTTTCAGAATTTGAAGCTAGAAGTCCCATCATGTAAATTTTTTCACAATTGCTTAAATTTCTCTGATGGTCCAACATATGTGGTTAATCAAATGATTATAACTTAAGTATCATTATGTTAGTTTCCGCTGTCTTGAAGTCAAAATGATCGCATTAACTGTGCTCTGTATCTGTGCCTATACAGACGTAATGGCTTGCTTATAAAGCAAATCCTTTCATAACTTCACTGCTGGCGTCTTCCTGGTCCGATTTGCTTTTCCTGCACTATTGATCTGGCTTTGCTGGTAATACGTGTGCTCATTATCGATTTGGTTTTGCCGGTAATATGTGTGCTTATTATCGATCTGGGTTTACCAGTAATATGCAAGCGTGGGTTTCCTGTATGCAGTGGTTGAATTACAGTTATTGATCTGACGCGGAAACCAAAATGTCAGACGGTGCTTGGAAATGTGTGCTGCACTTGTGAATTACTGAGATGAAATTTCAGCTTTAAGAAAACCTGGTTGTCTAATGAGTGAAGTTGAAACAGCAACAAAAACAACAACAACTATAATAGTATTAATAAATACAACCGTTTTCCCGTTGATTTACTGTCATAGTCAGAAAAGAGATGTTTTTTAGTTGCAGAGATTTGTATCTTTTCTTAGTTACAGTTTAAGAATGCTCTGCATGACTATTCAATGAAAAAATAATAACCTACTTTAAATAAGGGTTATATTGGTAATGTTGTCACATTCCTCAGATCTTGTGGGGCAGTTGTCTGCATTCATATAAAAAACCTCATACATTCAAATAATCTTGGCTTTAGTTTGGATCACATTGAATAATTGATCAAAACTTCTCAGAGAAAGAAAAATCGTTTTTATTCCGAGGACAATTAATTTCCATTGAAAATAAGGCCCGTAAATGCCATTTCAAGAAATGTACCTGGCTCATAAGCCAGAGTAATAGACAGACTGACGTCATTCTGGTTTTATCTCCTTTGTGGCAGAGTGTGTCTTAGAAAGTTCACAAGCCATTGATTGCTGAAACATTCTGAGTGGGCAGAGGAGCACTAAGACTAGGTAGAACTTCGACGTTCTTTACATCATCAGAGAGATTTGTTCTGTTTGTGCTGTCCACTGAGATTTGAATTCTTAATTTTCTTTTTAGTGTACTCAGTGGGAAGTCCTCCATGCCAGTGACAGAGTTCAGTTCATCACATACGCACAAACCACTATTCAGAGAATGCATTTCATATAATGCTGGCTAATGAATATTAATGAGACAAATACATAAAATAAAATAAATAAATTGAAGTCAGCCCAATACTTGCCACTTTTCCTAAAACCAATGCTATGACTGAAATATTTTGGTCATTTTTCTCTGCCAGATGAATACAATATATTTATTTGATGTTGGACCGGAGTTGGTCCTGAAATCAGCCAGTGTGAACACGGCCGGGGATAAAAATTATTGATCCCTTATGCCGGTAATGATTGCCAAGGTTATTAAGAGTGGAAATTAATGCCCAAGTTTGCATCTAGGTTTACAATGGAAAGAGGTTACGAGAACTTTAAATTTTGCCCACAGAAACTGCAAACACTTCAGTGATCGAAAATGTTTTGATAGATGCCGGAGTTCTTGCGGTAGAAATTCAAAGAAAGATCTCAATGAATGGTTTTGTGTATATTTTTCATGTGAAATAACCTGAATTTGAGGAAAAAATATAGGAGGTAATAAAAAAAAAAAGAAAAAAAAAAGCAAAATAACTTTGTATATATTGCCCTTTGCCAATCATTTGGCCACATAACATGAAACAGTTCATATAGCAGAGCAATTGAATATTATCTTTGTTCAACGTATACATTATTTAACATGAGGGTTCACTAGTAGTTGTTGCTCAAGGGGGAAAAAGATACTGGTAGTAAGAGAAAATATTCACCTTGAAGTCTGATTCTCAAAAAATGAAAACTAAATAAATGAAAATAAAAGTAGATAAAAATTTTGATTGGGAAAAGGAAAGTGTTTATTGTGTGGTTATATATTTCTTGCTATTTCAGATAAAAGTTTAAGGTCAAGTTTTCAGACTTTTTGTTGTGCCAGTGCCACCAGGTGTGAAGTGAAGATAATGATTTAAGAGGCGTCGTCTTTCTTCCTTAATGACTACAGCCTTTGTGCATACGTAGTGTTCTGACACTTTAACAAGCAAGGACTGATATTCAAATGTACAGATATTATCATTTATTGAAATAAAGAATGGTCTGTCAGAGTCGGTGATCAGATCTTGGACCTCCTTAATGCTGCCATGATTGCTATGTGATGATATGAGTTTACCATGGAGTAGAGAGATGTGAGGATTTACCTTGAATTTATCATAACTCCAGAGAGACAACATGACATCTGGTTTAACAGCATGAATAAGCATGGCATGCTTTTTGCATGATTGAAAAAAAAATTCCCCAGAAAGTACGAGGTTGACTGCTGTCCCAAGACAGTTAGGACACTACAGAGAGAAATAGTTAGGTTTTTAAAAGAGATATCTTTACATACACCCAGTTAAAATGTTAAATTACAAGTCAGTGTATACCATGAGGATTATTTTTCGAATTTATAAGTTAGATTATCAAGAGAAAAGCAGCTTTAGTACACTTTGGGGTTGTCAGTAAAATGAAATTTGTATAAACTCTGGCTTTACACTTGCACTTCCATTGCATTTTGGAGATATCATTTAGGCACAAGCCACGAAATTTAACAAGTCATTCTTCATATATACACAGAACACTTGAGTGAATTTCCTTTTTATTCTGTATTGGGTGGTATTCTCCATTCTCCAAACCTACATTAAGACAGGAAAAGGGAACAAAGAACATGTGGCCCATTGGATATTGCAAGTCAAAATCCATAGTTGTTACAAAAGCAACACAAAAGGGTAGATTTTTCCACCCGCTTCGGGTCATATTCCTTTCACAATCAGATGAAAAACAAGCTGAGAAAACATTCACAGCCGTTTGATATGCTCATTGCACTGAGCGACTTCTAAAATGTATGCTTCGTCGCTCCATTGAATATTAGGGCCCTGCGTCCCTTTCCTTAATTATTGTCCAACAAAGACAAATTACTTGCGGCATGGCAGAAATCTGATCCCTATCTAATTCATAAATTCCACCTCCTTTCAGCTTCAGTGCAGTTTCCACATATGTTGCATGGCAGTAGCAATAGTGGAACAATTCATTCACTTGCTAAGCCATCTGATGTTAAACTTCTAAGTCTTGTGAAGTAAAGAAATATATATGTAAAGATGGGGTCAACTTTCAAACTCACCCTTGCTTTAAAAAAAGGATAAATTAATACATTTTCAAAGAAAGTATTCTTTTATATTTTGTCAGTTTTTCATGAATTGGAATAATAAAGATTGCTTATTTCTGTGATGTTGATTCTTTCCTTCATGAAGCTATCCATACTGTATCTCTGTGCTTTCGCATCTCTCTGTGCTTTTACAAGATGCAAAGTACCTGAAATTAAGAACTGATCAAGTGAAGACTTGAATAATTAAAACTTGGTCCTGTGATATCTGAATATACCCGACTTGTATCATTTTGTCTTTAATGGCGACATTTTTAACTTATTCAAATTTTCTTCCTTTCTAGGTATGGGAAGATACAGAGTGTTAAACTTCATCCCAAAAAGGAAGGAGACAGCGATTTATCAGCAACTGTTGCTTTTATGGACATAAGGTCGGCTTCCAAAGCCCACAATTCAAAAAATGAACTAGATGATAAAACTTTGTGCACAAACTTTGCAGAGCCCACTGCTTCGGGCAGCATTGTCACCCGTACATGTGAGGTAACATCGCAGCTGCAACGAGAGGCCCCTGCAGCTTCATCAGCACCTGCAGCACGCAGTGCAACTACGACAAACACTGCGGCCCCAGAAAGGGGTCGGTTTGAGCCCGCTCACGCTGGCCGCGGCACTCCAACTGCCAAAAGAGACGGGTAAGTCACATAGTCAATACTGTCCTGGATTAGATTACTATGGAGATGGTTACCATGACTACCAGGGATTACTTTTTTAGCCTGGGTAACCATGGTTACGAGGTTAACAACGCCACTGAGTTTGACACGAGCAAGGATTATTACTGTATCTAACAAAAATAGCACCTTTACCGCCAGTTTTGGTGTCTATGTAACTAGCGGATTATTTTAGTGGATTATTATTAGAGCCTCAATATGGATTTACGTATTATTGTAGCCTTTCTTTCGTCTGGGGTCTTCCTGTCACTACTGTTTGGAATATTTATCACTACATCTATTTCCAAAGTCAGACAGAGTCAGACAATAACGTTTTAGAAAATTAACTTCTGTTCTGCTAAACTCTCAGCACTACCACTGCAACTAAATTCATTTTCAGACTTAACTTTTTCTAGAAACAGCACCACTGGGATTAACATTAACTTAAAACCACCATTTCTGGAATATACTTTGTTTTTATTTTATTTTTCGCTGCCAAATTGACAGGATTTAGATAAAAAAAACAATGATGAGAACTTTGGGATTTATGTTGTGTGACTCTAAAGAGCTTGGAAACTTATAATTTAACTGTATCTCCAACCACGTTAGCTCTGCGCAGTTTCAGCACGCATTTTGTATCCCACATGCACCACGAGACTGCACGGAGCTATACCTACCAGATCGTACATACGTATGTGCGTGCAAACCACCCTTTGTCGTGTAGTGAATGTGTTGTCGTTTATTTAAAGTTTACATGTGGATTAAGCACCCAGCTGGCTTTATAGAGCCCCACAGTAAAATAAACCAGTCGTCCCGTTTGGATTTATGCGGTATATTTGAGAGACGCAACTTCCCTGATGTTGCACAAACGGTGATCCAGCAAAGCCAAGACATACACACCACCACCACACTAAACACTACTGTGCTTTGCAAACCAGCTCAGCACTACCTTTTGGATTTATGCATTGCTTCTAGGTAGAACCCTTGTTGCTATGGATACATGTAACTGTGGATACGTGTTACTATAGTAACAGGTTAGCAGCCTTTAAGTTGGATGTTTGATTGACTTGATGTGGATATTTAAGTGTGTAAAGCGGTCGTTTGGATTATGTCTGTTTTCTCGTGTATTACTGATCACTTCTCAGTGAGAAGTTGGATTTTTTACCCCGTTGAGATTGGATTATTATAGCAGCCTAGTTGCCCCGGGGATTACCATGGCAACTGCTCAGAAGATGGATGTATATTACCAGAGTAGGAAGAGACATGGGGTGCCCTGGTTTATGTATAACATTGTATGCATAACTCAGTTCCTGCCTTCAAGACCCTTGCTGAAGCAAAATTAGAAGAAGACCCAAGTGGATTATATATATGGATAAACACACAGAGTAGAAATGATTCACTGTGCCCAGTTGCAAAGATGTAGATAATTCTGCATTGTTTATATGGTGATTTTAGCTGCCCATATTCCACCCCCCAAGCCACAGCCAAATTTGACAGTTCTTGGATGTACTAATTACCAAACTGGATTACCTTCAGAGTAACGGGACGAGTACGTCACGTGGAATAGATATCTATGTCCATTGATCAACCAGGGTGTGATTTGTAGCAGTTTATTATTAATGCATCTTGAGGAGGATATTAGCAGAGTAGCAGGGTACTTTGTGGAGTAGCAGAGAGACGGATTCCTGGTGAAAAATATGGGATTAGAACTTGCTTCTTAGTGTATGGTTTACCTAGAGTGGTGACCTATTCTGACTAGCTTAACTGGAATATATACCAACCACAACTAAGCAACTCAAGGGAAGGCAACAGGAGAAGAAATGCTGAACACACTATTGGATATTATTTTAGCTTTATATCTCATGGATTATTTACACCAGGAAATTAGCAGAGAAGAAGTGGCTGAAATGGATTTATTACCATGCATTAAAAGGAGTTAAAATAGATATTAGTATTTATTGTGTAAAGTAAGTTGAGAAAAAATTATATAAGGTATTTTGCTGTAATGGATTTATTGCCTGCTTAAGAAGTAAGGTTGCTGGATTATTAATGTAAAGATACTAGTACAGTGGTAACAGCAAAGAACAAGACAGAGATATGGAGGGAAAGGGTTAGGGAGGAGGGGAGAGGGGGGGGGGGCAAACACACTGCTTTATTAGTTTTTACAGCTAGAACGTAGTCAGCTATAGTTGCCTGTGGCAACATTGTTAAAGCCTACTGGGACCACTGGGCCATTGGGGTGCTTAGAATCAAATGTCTCAAATAACAGAAAAAGAGCCTTGCAAGGGACCAAAAATACAACTTTTTCCCAACATGGCTTTAGTTTGTCAGCATTTGGCTTGAGCCCAACCCTGCTACCAGTACAGACGTTTGCCGACCCAAACCTTGACCTAACCCCACTTTCAGACATGGATTACTTAAAGCTGAGACGGATTATGAAGGATTACAAATTAATATTACTAGGCACTGGATTACTGACATGTAACCATGGTAACGGAGCCAGGATTATTATTTTACCTAACGAACCCTGGACCTGTAGACTCTCTCAGGACTACCGGACTACAACCGGCAGCAGAGACGAAGCCACCGAGTAAAGTATGGCGTCCCTGGGGCAAAATATGGATTATAATGACAAAGCCAATAGCCTCGTCATGGATATATGGTCCGTTATTGGATTGGATTGTTATAAGGTCCGTGTAGTGGAACACTGTGGATTATATATACTATATAAAACTGGTATTTTAGCTCTGTTGCGTATCCACTGATTGATGCTTTGAGACTGATAATGGGATTTATGGAGGTTTCTTCATATCAGAAAATGGAGATTTTAATAGATATTTGGTGAACATTGTGTAACTGGTACCATGAGTAATGGATTTTAAGATTTCCCTAGAGAAAGCTAAGTTTGTAGGCAAATGCATCCCTGAAGTGGCAATTAAGTGCATTTATCAAAATCTACACTACATGTTATGTACATGTTTATTTATGCTAAATATATCTGCTTTCTCTTTCAAACTTTTTTAGTGTGCATATAAATTTTCTCAAGTCTGGTTCATTTCCTGTATATGTGTGAGAGGTGCAGAAGTTGGGGTTTCTATTCATATTTTAGACAAAGACATTCATATCAGTATATCTCATGGAGGATTCTCCATAAATAGTCTGATGTTAAGAAGAGGCAGTTCTCATGTTTGAGTGAATTTTTCCCTTCAAGTATTCCCATATACCTTATAGCAAAACACAAGAGCATGTTCCATTTTGTCTGAGGCCAACTTAAGGAAGGGGTGGGCTTATTATAAATTAAAATTTTCACTCAAGAATTCGGAAGAGGTAGTATATTCAGCTGTGGGGATGTACCAATTATTTTTATTATTTGAAAATTTTCTTGTTTTGTGATTAAGGAGGGGGGGGGGGGGAGGGGGGGTTAAGAGGTTTAGATGCAGTCCAGGTGTTCTCAACATAAAGACATAGCCATTTGCCTGTGTACAGAGAGATAAATCATTTACTTGACTCTGAAGAGGATAACTACAGCCTATTATTAGCACAAATGTAAATATTACTCCCCTTAGCGATAATCCCCAAAGCGTGCAGTGCCTAGCTTTCAGATCGGCAGCGTAGGTTGATATCTGTAATGAATAGATTAAAAACTGCTGGGCATTGTAACAGGCATTTTCATTGGCTCTTTGCAGTAGACTGATCCTTGGCAGCCAATTGGATTTATTGTGTCATCACTTTAGGCTATTTTGGTGATATACCTTGACCTTACAAATTTTAGACTTTGGTCTCTAAATTAAAATGTGTCTCAAAATATTTCACATTGTATCAGTTTTAAGGTCATGGGATTTTTGTAGTTATAAGATATTTTTGTTATGTGTATCATATGGAAATTATTGTCAGTTGCAGGATAGGTCTGTGTTAAAATGATATGGAAGTCTGGTATGTAATAATATATCAGAACATTTGCCCAGTAACAGTCCAGTCATTTGTAGCACTTCACCGTTTCAATTTTGGAAGGCCATCTTTTAGTTTTTTTTATCTTTTCAACATATGGTATGGTACCAAGTCTCTCAGTGAGAAGATGAATTTGGACTCTCTATTTCAAAATCCTGGCTAAACACATGTTATATTTGGAAAAAAAAAGTATTTTGTTAATATGGACCAAAAGATGTGGTAGAGAGATTAAATTATTTTAATTATATTATATTTATACCAAGGATGTCATACCACAAGTGAAAAACACTTTGCTATGTCTCTTATAAACTGGGATGGTAGCTTCCTGAAATGAGTTCAAGATGGCGAGGGAGAATTTACCAGAGTCATACTGTTATTTTAATTTATTTATTTATCGGTTTTCTACAACATTAACCTTTAGTGAAAGTTCTTATGAATATAAGGCTTTTATTGTTTGGAGACCAAGTCTTTTGTGATACCTAAATCACATTGAGATTATCTGTGGGAAGATTCTCCAAATATGAAACAAGCACCATATTATACAACAGCCATATTAAACTGGAACAGTATGGGACTTACTGTTATGATAATTGAGTGACCACATCAGTCCGAGAAAATAATACCAAATTTGTGAGTTATATGTAGAATATTTGGAAAGGAGAGCATAATTATGAAATTATATTAAAGAAAAAAATCAGCACCAGAGGGTTAACTTCAGGAAGTTATTTGGAAACCCTGAGAAAGTGGGCTTTTAATATGTAAACAATATATAGGCAGATTCAAAGGAAAAACCAAAGGCACCGAGTTGATGAATCAGTCTGCAATCATGTTAAGTTGGTATTTGGTTTTTGCTCCAAGTATAAAATTGATTGGTATTCAAGTAAGTTAGTGCTGAGAGAAGTAGTACAAAGAGTCAAGGCCCTTATTTGGCAGTTTTGTGGTAAAGGAAAGAGGAGAGTGTTGTTAAGCACATTGTAAGATTATGATGAAAATGAAATGAATTCTCCAGACGTTGTGGTCGTTTGAAGGTTGGGGAA